GGCCCAGCCCCTGCTTCAGGTGCTGAGGCAAGAGGGCTGTGACCCCTGCAGCCCCCGAGGCCCTCAGGTATAGTCGAGGGACTTCACAGCTCCCAAGCCCTGCCCAGGGCCGGCAGCTGCAATCCAGCGCCAGCAGCCGGCTACCCCTTCGTCCTGGCCCAGGAAGCCTCCTCAGCAGCTCACGGAGCAGACCGATGCCTCGACGGGCCACCAGTCAGCAGAGCAGATACAAGAAGATGGCCATGGCTGCCCAGGCGTCTCCTGGCCCCTTTATTAAGCGCGGCGCAGCAGTATTTGCCGAATTAATCTCTTCATTTCTCCTCTTCTCTGCCCTTGGCCAAGCCCCCGAGCACTGTCTGGCAGCCATTCTGCAAACCCTTTTAGCGCACATTAGGTGCTGGGAAAGCAGCAGGCAAACTGCAGCTCTCCGCACACCCCCGGGGGGCCCCGGGAAACTGGGGACTGAACCAGGCACCTGGAATTACAGAGGCCACAGTCACCGGCTGAGCAATGCATGGGGCCCTGCGTGACCCAGCCCGGAGCAAAAGGCTTCTTAAGGGACAGCGCATCTCCGGGCAGACAACTGCAAAACCCGCTCCTTCTGACAGAGGCCTGCTGGCACCCAGCTACGGGGGGACCCCACACAAACGGGGGAAGAGAGGCTCTTCATCAGCTCTGTTGTTTCCGTTCAGTCAGTTTATTTGACAGACGAGCCTGCTCCAAGCAGATGGGCCAGGCATGGCCAACATACGCAGGCTGCAGGTCAGTCTCAGCGCCACGAGGTAGGAGACAATGCTCTCCAAAAAACACTACGCTGCCTGGCTTTATTACAGTGCAGCTGTATGAAAGGAGAAAAATCAAGTGCTTAAAAAAAAACAGAGGCTGTCCCATCACCATGGCTGCAGCCGCAGAATGGTCCAGAGAAAGAGGTGGCCAGGGTCTCTTCCACGCATGTAGCATCCATCATTCACAGTTAGATCTGTTAAAAAAATTACATATGCTCCCCTCCCCACCCTGCAGAACAGAGCTTCTCATTGCTGGTTTAACTGAAAATTAGACATTATCAACGTCCCTCCCCCAGCCTGCTTGTCCTCCTTAGAAACGTCCAGCCATGATCTTAGCAGAGAATAATCATCTTCTCATCAGCCCCAGTTATAGAAATAGATTTTCTGCCAAGCAGGCAAGTAATCCATCAGTGGCCCTGAAACAAGAGAACAGAGGGATCACACACGTAGCAAGGCAAGAACTTGAAGCTATACATATATGGGGCAGATTCCCCCCTTCTTGTTACGATACCCAACAACCCCCAATCTGCACTTATACAATTCAGGTGAACCCAAGTATAGAACAGTTGCTTTTGCCAAGACGGGAGACAACTTTGGGATGTGGTGCCAGAGACCAGAGCAGGACCAAGCGGGGTGTGAAACGTGGTCAGCACAGCCACGATGTGGGACACCACTCCCTCAGAGCTGACATGGCCAAGCTCCAGTGGGACACGGGGTCTACAGCGTGCAAGGGGAAAACTCGTGTGCAGCGAGTCAGGAGAACACTGCTGTGGCTCAGGGAAGAGGGAAGACAACTCAGCAGTAACAAGCAGGTGCAGACACAGAAGCAACTGCTGTAGAGTGAAAATGCTTATGTTGCTCAAGGCTTAACGCAGGCTCCAAAGCCTCTCCAAAATCACTAATTGGAGGAAGCGGCTCCCGAGCTAGCCAGCTTTGCGACCTACCCAAAGAAAGGACAGTGCCACAATGCCATATCCCCACCATGAACCACTCCCGGAAAGGCTTCACATCAGCAGGGAAGAGCAGGAGGTGAAATTCTGGCCCACAACAAAGGAATCCTCCGGTAAAGGACCAGAAGACAGACCTGCTTTAGCCCTTTGATTAACAATCAGCTCCTGGCTGGGTCAGTACCTCTAGGTAACTGCTTACCCCTCATGTCTGCATTGCAGGCTGGGGATCAAGGAAAAGAGTTCAGAAATGGGCTGCAAAGCAGGGCTCTGGTGCACCAGCTGAGGTGCAGAGAGGGAGCCCAGGAGGACAGGCCCAGGTGGCAGACACTGAGCTCCACAGCTTGGGAGGGCACAGGGAGGTTCACCACTGGGGTCGAGCGCAGGTCCCTAACAACCAGGAAGCCACTCATCCTTTCCTGTTCCAGTTTAAAGCAACACAAGCATCGATACCGGGTGCACGAGTGCTAATTGTTCTAGGGACTTCCCAATTCCTTCCTCAGGTTGGAAACCAATTGATGAACGATCTGCCCAACTCCCCTGGTTTTTCTCCACCCAACAGAAACGGGGATAGGGGCAGTGGGGCCCACTTACGTGTGACAAAGCCAACTCCAGGCACATAATCAGCCAACAAGCGCAGAAGGAGGAGGATCCTGCCCCTAGGAAGGGAGAGAGCGTGAATGAATCCAGCAGGACACCTCCTGTCCCAGCTGTTGAATGCACGAACAGCAACAGCAGCTGTTATGCCAGGGCAGAGACTAACCCAGTCACAGGCACCCAGACCTCCTCAGATCTACTCACCCGGTCCCCTGACACTATTTCTGTTAAAAGGGAAATTTTCAGCAAAATCCCAGCAGGGGCCCCTTACTCTGAGTATCGGTCGTAGAAAGGAGATCTCAGCAGGTAGTACAGCAGCAGGACGGTTCGTCGCCTCAGCTCCGCTCGCTCTCGCCTGTTCAGGTCTTTCAAGTCACTCAGCAAGCTCAGACTGGAAGGAGAAGGGCAAAGAGCTAACTCATGGCAATAACTGCCAGCAGGGAAAAGAAAGTGGGTTTCTAAATGCCCTCCGTTCTCAGCTCCACGCAGAGCGGGCCGCACCAGCTCAGAACAGAGAGCACTGTAAGCGTTGCAGAAGATACCTAAACATGTCAGTCTCCAGCTACAGAGTAGGCCCAGCCCCTGTGTGTGCTTCTCCTAGCAGGGCCTGCCCTGGACTGGACAGCAAGGGCAAGTGTGATGCTCAGCCACCACTAACCTCAAGCACCGCAAAGACTCTTCCTCTGACTGACCTTGAGATGTCCAGGACTGCTGAGAGGAGCCAGGGTTTCCATGATCTCTGGCCCCACACTCCTAAACTCAATACTAGGAACACATAGTCAAGGAACCAGAGATGCCTGACCAGAGGCACAGAGACAACCGATCCCCTGGGTACCAGCACAGCTCTGCTGACCCCAGGAGAATACATGCAGAGGCAGGGCTGCGGGGGGCCCAGGGGGAG